GGCCCAGATGCCCATATGAAAGCTGACTTTTGTGTGCTGGACAACTCTCATACAAGGTGGACGGCCGGTGTTTTTCCTGGCGTGTCTTAAACAAACACAGACCAATTACACTAGGCTGCCTGGTGTGTCAAGCCATGATCTACAGTTTTATTTTGCATTATTTGAGAAGGGTTAGGAAGTAAATCTGTACTCTGCAGAACAAGAGAGAGAGAATAGAAGTTCCTGCAGTTTCCCTGGGTTAGCATAAATCCCAGGTTCAAGTGGATAGTGTCTAGTGTCTAAGACAAGCAGCACGTCCCGTGCCAGCTAACTGCCACTTGGTCTGAGCGAGCTGTTGTGGCAGAACAGCTTTGAAAAACTCTGATCTGAAATATTCAAAACTCATACATGCAACTTTCCTGACTCCCCTGAATATATATGCAGTAAAATGTGTGCCTCCATTCCCACTCAAACCTTGGAATTGCATTATTCATCTGAGGCAGTGTTTCAACTTTCTGACTTTCTCTGACTGCAGTGCTCCCACCCCCACTAGTGAATTAAATACCCATCTTCTAAGTACTACTAGTGCTCACATATTCTGTCTGTATGTGCTAATGTACAAGCAACAATTGACTGTTGGTCAAGGTGGAGCTAGTTTAGCTACATCTGCATCATGTATTATGAGCTCATCATGTTTTTTTTAATTTTTTTTTATGTAAAGTCTACTTTGGTCTACAATATTTTCCTCTGCAATGTAATGGCGTAGATGTCAAAAATAGCATGAAATGGAAATTCTCAACTAAACTTCAAATTCCTTAAAATTGTACACAAGTACATTAGATGATTAAATGCACTTACATTCCACCACTGATGATTTGCATGTATTATGATTCGACTGATATGCATCCAATTTGACCGTTTTTATCAAATATCTGTCTTCAATATGATTTTTTTTACGAATACATTTGTAATTTGAAGTCTGTTAAAGATCTAACAGTTTGCTCTTTCTGTTAAACAGATCTAAAGCTGCCAAAGTATTTAATTAGACATTTTTTTCTGCAATAAAAATGTGTAACAATTAAATAAAATATGAAAACAAAAATGCAATTGCAACTGCAATGACAAACTTAGTTGTATGCAACTCAGAAATCCTTCTGCTAAAGCCCTGTGTGTGTGTTTGTCCGTGTTGCATGTACTGTACTGTATATAGACTCTTGTTTTGGTGTGACATTTTATAACCCTTCTTCTATTAACAGTATGTTACAGTCTACCATGTCTGGAGAGTGAGCAGTGTTATTTACCAACAAGCACAGAGGGAAGGTGGCAAACAGAGCTTTTTCCCTTCAACAACAGACTGTAGTGAACTGTAAGCTGTCGATTATCTTCATCGCCGATTCATCTGCAGATTATTTTCTCTATTAATCAAGTCATCATTTGATCTTTTTTAAACATTAGAGAACTGTGAAAATTGCCTGTTTAATACAGCCCAAAAGTCAAAGATATTTAGTTTACCATAATGTAAGACAAGTAAAAGCAAGCTGGTATCATTAAATGTTTGGCAAGTTTGCTTGAAAATTGACAAATCGTCTAACACAATTGTTGCCATAATCTTCTTGATTGAGTAATCACTTAATGGTTGCAGCTATAGACCACATATTTTTATATTTCTCAATAAATCAGAGGGGAACTTCAGTTTGCGTTGATTGTACTGACTTTGTTTCATCATCTTTGTCTTGAGCCTTTGATGTAAGTAGATATATGATTCATAAAATTGTATCTAGACATGTAAATCCTGTGGCCCATGAATCTCTGGATTGTACATGATTTAAATTGGAATATTGATGGGAACAGTTTGGCAGATGTTGAAATCATTGACCCCCACTCATACATAATGCAGTTGGCTCTGCTGTAGGCTCCTGCTCCATTTTTGTCCTGATTGTGTAATACAAAATAGCACGGACTAATTACAGTTTGGGTAATGACATCGGGTCAAATCCATGTTTCAAAAGAGAAATTAAGCTTGTTTGTTTCTCGGGTGCCATCCTAGAAGGCCCCTGTTCTGTGAGTACTTGTGTGCACGTGCATGTCTGTGTATATGATAGTGGTGGCATTTGACTGTATGTGTGTGTGTGTGTGTGTGTGTGTGTATGTGTGAGTGGAGATGGGTGTTCACAGCACCTCAGTGGAAACTTGGCCATTAGCCGACTGTTGCCCATGAGGGCTGGTAAACACGCTGTGATAGATCTCACTCTGCACACAAGTGCCAAACACAATGTAAACTTGTTTTCATCACTCCATTCAGCCTCGCGCACTTCTTTTTTCCTTCTGTTCCTCAGTCTCTCAACTGTGAATCACGCTGTATTGCATGTATAAGGTTAAGAATGATGCATATTATGTATGAATAATCTAACATTTAAAGGTCCAGTGTGTAACATTTAGGAGAACCTGCTGGTAGAAATGGAATATAAGGTTTTCATTAGTGTATAATCACCTGAAGATTAGCATATTTTTTATCTGTTGGTTATCTGCTGGTCACCTGGAGGCTGCCATGTTTCTACAGTAGCCTAGAAAAGAAAACTTTTTTTGTGAGTTTTGCATCCGCTGTAGTTTGGTTGGTCATTGTTGGAAAGAGAGGGTGAAACAAGCGAGCTGCAAGCTGCAACTACATCGCTAGATGTCGCTAAATCCCACACACTGGACTTTTAATAGCTCAATCTGCCTTTTGTTTCTCAATACAATTCCTGCCAAGTGTGATCAAAAAGGCAGCTGGTCTTGATGTATAGTTATATTTAAGATTATCGAAAGCTATTTACAGCTGTATTTGCCTGAAGGTGTAAATCAAGTGTGAAGTATGATATGAGGAGGGCATATCGGGTCTGCAGGGTGGAGTGGCTTAATGGTAAACAACTCTGTATGAAACCAGCCTTTGACATTCACACTTCCTGAGTATACATCAGATCTGTCAGCCGCAGCCCCAGAGGCCAGCGCAGGTCTGAGCGAGGTCACATCAGATGACTGCCCCCCCCCCCATGCAACATCCAAACCAGATGTCTGATGAATTGCTCCTCATAAAAGGATTCTTCTTTTACAATGGACCGTGGCATTGCCAAATAGGGTAAGACGGTTACGTGTGCATTCCCCTAGTCGTTAAAATTCTTACGGGTAATTCAGAATGGCCTCTAGACATGTTTGTAGAGACAACTGAAAGAAAGTTTCACAATGATCTTGTCCTGAGATGATGGGTGTAGTGGCGAGGGCTGAGGACTGTAGTAATTCATCTTCATTTGCTGCAAACTACATCAGCGCCAGAAGGGATGCTTTTAATAGAAGAAAGATGCAGGTTATGATGGCTTTTTATGCTTGTATATCCCTGCTTTCTGGCTGACTTCAACTCCTCTCTCCTTTGTCTTGCTCTTATCTTCTGTTTGTAAAGAGGGAATGTTTCTGTTCCTGTCTCCCATGAAATAAACCAGTCAGATGAAGCAATCAACTCTTCCACAGAAAAGTTACCCATGGGCTCTGATAAGGTGAAAATAACATGTTGTCACAAAAACCCACTCACACTTGAAGCCGGCAGCTGTCCTGTGTGTTACACTGCATTGAAAGGGCTATTTGGCACTCAGCAAGCATGTGCTGAGAGGCGATGGACAAGACCTGGCCTCCTCCTGCTCCTATCGCTCCCTGTTAGCGCTTCGTCTCCTCCCATGCTTCCCACTAATCACAACTGACAAGGGATACACAGGACTATGTCTGCACCAATGGACAGAAAGAGTTCTGCTGCTGATGTGGGGGTATGAACACAGGTAGGAAGAAGACTGAGGGGTGGGGAAAGCCTAAGATTTTAAGAACTTTAGCATCACACGAGTCCTGCTAAATGTGCTGTTTCTCTGATTTGAAAGCTGCAAAACAAGACCATGGCATGCCAGAACATTGTCTATAAGAATACTCCATCTTCATTTAGATGCTGTGAGAAGACCAGATGGGAGGAAGGAGAGTTACAGAGTCGAAAAGGAGCATGCACAGTGTATACGCCAGCTTCTTTGTGTGTGCATCAGCAAACATGAGTGAGATAACATGTGCTTACTTGACTGTAGATGTCTATATATGAGAGGGTGTGATCCCATGAGAGCACAACATGGACATCAGAGGGAACACACGTGTGCCTCCTGAACTGTGGTGCACAAGAGAAGATCTGCATGCTGAAACATTGATGGAAACCTGTGACGCAACACATCATCAGTGACACTTAAAGTGTGATGAATATTTCAATGACCTGGTGGAGTGGGGACATAAGGAGTCAAGCTGGAGGGCAACCACGGGACTATTCTGGGAATTTTACTGCAAAACAGTTGCATGCACAGCTTCCATTTGTCAGCATCTAGACTCTTCTCCCCTGTTAAAAACAATGAATTCATGTCATGGCAGTTCAAAGCCCTCAAGTTGGCTTGGTAACCTTGCAAAAATATTACACCAAAACCGCAAGTCAAGATGCATCCACTGAGATAAAACATGGCCTGAAATGTTTGTTCCTAAATACACCATATTTATTCCATTCAGAGAGGAGCTCTCTTGGAAAATATAGGTCAACCCCATTTCATACAAAAACAGGTTCTGCTACAGTTTATATTTTAAAATAAACCACAAGAATCAATATTATATATATATTAGAAGAAGAACAATCTGGGCCTTTCAGTCTTTATTATCATATTCTCAGTAATTTTACATACATTGAATTATAATGTCTCTTCTGCATTTGACCCATCCTATACACTAGGAGTGGTAGCAGCTTGGAGTTCATTGTCTTGCTCAAGGACACTTTGACACATGGACAGGGGGATCAAACCGTCAGCGACCCGCTATATGTACTGAGCCACTAAACACATTTTCAAGAGACAAAAAAAAAACCAAAAAACATCTAAACATAAGTCAGATCTAGTGAGAACAACGCCTGCTGGGCTGGCTGAGGGAAGATTTGGGGGTTTCACTGCTGCTGCAATATCTTGCTCCCTGTGGAAGTCGGGGGTGTGAATGAGCTGAGACTCGCGGCTGGTTGGAGAGCTGGTGACAAATACTCCGAAATTGCCCCTCAAAACACCGAGCAATAACCTGACGGACGCTCACTCAAACAGCTTAAATTCCTCAGCAGCGTTTATCCTCGATAGTATTAGGGGACACTACCGTTTCAGAAGAGACCGGGAAGTGGCCGAACAACTGACACAGAGAGCTCGTTTTTATCGCTGAATGTTCACGGAACGGGACCCATGTTTTGCAAAGACTGCAGCTGCTGCACGGGCCGGGCCGTGGGGCCACAAAGCGACGAGAAAGACAACAGAAGTCGAGGAGACGGCGCTGAACAAAGGAGGGCAATGCAGGACGTGTGTGTGTGTGTGTGTGTGTGTGTGTGTGTGCAGAGAAGCGATGCCCTAGATCTGTATAACGTCTGAGTTACTCTGTCATTCAGACTCCTTTCATGCTGTCGGGCAGCCGTTTCTCAAACCGCACCTGGAAAACCAAAGAGAATGTGTTCAGTGGCAGCACATCTCCATGCGTAAATGGAGACGCATCGGTGCGTATTTGCTGTACTTTTTCATTATGCGTACAATAAATTATGTTTGTTTTGTCACTAACTCAAGCCCTGTCCCATGACCACACTGATATATATGCATAATAGACTTCCTCATACTTCGTATCTACCATGAGTGATGGCGATGCCCGCAGAATCTGACAGTACCGGTGCGCAAAGCAGCACTCGTGAAAAAAGCTTCAGCGCACCGGATCGCAATGGTTATGTGAAAACATGTGTCATCCCACTGTGCCGTGACCGAGATTACGAGTCGTGGGTGAGGCTAATGTTCACAAAAATATGGAGTTCCCAGAGACTCCGGAGTGCCGTGTGTGCGGGGTCGCTTTCGGTTTTTCTCGCTCTGTTGGTCAAATGTGCAGACTGGAAAGCTGAAGCCAGCAGCAGCGCTGACAACACACTCTTGCATTCATCGTCCCCCCTTCACTTCGTTTCAGGCTGCGCAGCGGAGCTGTTGCAAACTTGCTGGAGTGTGGTTTCGACATTGTTCACCCTCGTATGTGCCTTCTTTTGGGTCGGTGTCTACTTAATCCGCTGCGGGGTTCTAATCCAGACCGCTCTCTCCCTCCTAACCTTGTGCCACCTGGGCGAAGCAGCGGCGTGGTCTCTTCTGGACGGGACAGATGAGCAGCTGTTTTCATTCACGACAGCAGCCGTGGTCGTGCTCATCTGCGTGGCCACCGGCGCACTCATGGTAGCACGGCTGAACCAGGGCATATCTGTGATCCTTTTCATCAGCATAGTCAGGACTATCTCACTCTTCTCGCTACACAAAGTACGGGCCACTTGGAGACCGTACGTAGCGTACCTGGTTGGAGTGCTGGGCATCCTGCTGGCGAGGTATGCTGACAAGCTCCTTCCCAACCAAGGGAGACACAAGGAGGGCTGCACCCCCGTGACTGGAGCCAGGGAAGAGATCCCTGTATTTAAAAGGCGCAGGAGGTCCAGTTCTGTGATAGCCTCAGACATGGCACACAGTCAGTCCAACAGTAAGTCACATCGCCGGACCTCTCTGCCATGCATCCAGAGGGACCAGGTAAGAAGTTTATGTGCCATTCAACTTTTTTATTTCTGGCTTGTTTTCTTCTTCCAATGACGAGTTTTGTGTTTGAGGCAAAGGGAAGAAAGGAGGAAGCAGTAAAATTGCAGTAAAATAAGGGATGTTGGCCTTTTATGAATATCAATATTTTATTTTCATATTTTTAATCAATATTATTTAACTATTATTTTGGCTGTTAACCAATGCATTTAATACCAAGGGTTACAGAAAAAAATATATGTATGTCAAATGTATAGTGTAACACAATAATTAACCATTACAACAATAACAATACACTGTTATTAGCATTATTGTTATTATTATTATTATTATTATTATTATTATTGTTGTTGTTGTTGTTGTTGTTTTTGTTGTTGTTGTTGTTGTTCAGTCCTGTTTGCAGTGTGGATTACAGTTTGTCTGGGTGTGCTTGGATCTTTGATCAGTACTGATTTCTCTCTTCTGACTGATATCTTGTCACAGTGCAGCCATTGGTAGGCAAACATGGAAATATAACAAATAAATTTTTTTCCCTCATTTATCTTAACAGTTACATTATTATATAATGCCTCATACAATCATCTCTTTAAAATATAAATGATCTTCTGCTGTTATCTTCTGCTTAAATCTTTCACACATTTTTCTTCTGAAAACATTGCACCTGTCAGACCAAGGTGCTGATTTAATTCATGTAGACACATACAGTGTAGGTGCAAGTGTAGCTCTCGTCTGCTATTTGGACATAAAGTACCAAATTTGGTATTTTGTTGCTAAAGGGATGCTATTTTAGAAGCAGCTTTCAAGTGCTGATGTGAAAGGGAAGCTGAGGATACGTCGTCAGTGAATCATCTCATCCCTAATTATTTATGTCAAACATTTTCCTCAAGATGATCTCTGAACCACTGCCTCAAAACTGACAAATGCATTTTTGTCTTTCTGTCCTGGACCTTAATAACACTTGCTCCTCATCCCTTATTGGGGCTTGCTGTCCTTAACCCGAGGAATTTATCAGCTCAGGCTTTTAAACCTCTTCTGATACTGATACCCATGCGTAAAATAAAAGGGGGGTGTGGGGGCTCATATCAGCTCCTCAACCATCCTTATGGAAAATCAATGAGCATGCTGAGTATGTGAATGGGAAACAGACTTTTGGAGTGATCAAAGCTCTCGTTGTGACCTGTGAGTGCGGTTAGGTTGGGAGATGAGAGACTTCACTGTCGGTCGTCCACTTGAAAGATGCCCTCAGCTCTCAGGGCTGGTTAGCGTTGTAGTGTGCTTGTTTGTTTTTCTTTGTGGTCACACACATACACACACACATACACATACACAAATCAGATATGAAAAGACTCTTAGATATTTTAGAGTTTTCATTTAATTTTGATTGAGGTTTGATGTCTCAGCTGAAGCTTATTCAAGTGTCAGTCATTATTCATTTGATATGCAGTAGTTGTTTTTTTCCCACAGTAATGGGGAGAGGATGTATCTTTGTTTTCCAATGAGTGATGATCTGGAAAATGGCTGGCTGTATAATTTACATTGAATAGTTACTGTATGGCTATAAAGACACAGATGGCAGATTATTTTACACTCTGCTGTGTTTTAAAGCACAATGCTGCTAATTATGGAAATAGATTTTTTTCAGTCTTAATATTAATTCATTAATTAATTACATATACAAACAAAACAATACATTTAGTATGCATAGTTGTTTTTATATTTATTTGGTGTTGTTGCACTGAATAATGAAGTTGAAATATTGGGAATTTTTTTAAAATAATTTAAATTAAATATTTTATTTCACATCACTATAGTGTTTTCATTATGGTAAGATTGAACATAGGCATTAGTCAACCAAGCTGTAATAAATTCAGTTGCAGTGGACACCAATTGTGTAAAAATAAAAGAGGATGGATACCATTACGTTTGGATTCAGACTCGATTACTTTAAGAGATTCAAGATGCAGTTACTGGGAGAACAATAAAAACAGCCCCCAAATCAAGACATTAGTTGTAAACAGCTCTCATTGATCCAACTGCGACAATTAACACAATTTAGTCCACTTTAGATTTTTTTTTCTTACAGCAATGTCCCAATAAAAGCTGAGCAGGATAAAACTACCAGACAACCAAAGCAGGCAATAACATGCCACGATGTAAACATTTACCACATCTCTGACTCTCCTCTGCTCTGTCACTTCAGTCAGGCTGGAGCCCTCTGCTGAGAGATGTTCTTTATTACATGTTTTTTGTCTTGGAACCCAAAAAGACAACAGTACCCAGACTTTTCTTGATAGTAGGTAAAAGTTAAGCTAAGAATATAATAGATTTTCTGTAATTTCCTGAGTGTTCTTCCATTCACTGTCATCTCTGGCGGCGGTACTAAGCAGCTGACCAGTCATGGCCTGCCTGTAATTGAGACACACATGGCGTACATATGCTGTCTTAACCATGCCTTGTCTGTGTGGTCTGTAATGTGTCAACAAGCCCGTGCTGACCCACGCTAGTCATCACCTTGCTCACACAGGGCTCTGGCCTCCCTAAGGGGGGTCAGAGGCACGTCTGGGGGCCACAATGCAACCACCATATGGTGACGGAAACAGCGGAGATGCCAGACGACAAAAAAGTATCTAACTGACTCTGCCTAGAGGAAAAAATATAAGCAAACTGCATGGCAGCAACGTGGCCATACTTTTCCAGGTACTGCTTCTCAGTTAGATGACCTGAAGGGGCTAAATTATGTTTTAACAGTTCTGCCCTTTTGCTGTGTGCAATAGAGTTATGATGTTTTAAATAAGCAGTAAGAGCTCCATGACAAGGAGTAGATCTGCACTTTGTTGACGTGACGATGTTTGCATTAGTGGTTTGCGTCTGAAGTGTTTGAAGAATAGTGTGAGGTAGGATGAAGGATAACAGTTGATACATAGCTTTGTTTTTCTCAGGAAGGTTCTCCCACAGACGTTAGAGTCTTATATAAAGGCCCTTTAGATTGATAGTCACTGTGTAAAAACTGTTTATTCAGAAAATAAATAGAGCAAATAGGAATCCCTCTGTCTCGTCTTCCTCACAAGCCTTAAATCTGCCATGATGCCCTTCGCCACTCTGCCAAAGCCATGCTCCAAAGCAATGCCCCAGTCTGCACAACTGTAGATTTAATAAACAGCAGTTTTCCCTCTTTTTTGATCACAAATTGGCTGCCAGCATCTATCAGCTCACTAAGTAGGTGCTTTGCGCAACGTTGTCCCATCAGCATGCGTAATAAAAGAAAGTCATTATCAGCTGATCTGATAGTGGTTAGTGGAGGCATCTGCAGGATAGTCATTCTTCTTGGGTTAATAAAAAATGACAGGCTGGTCTTCTTTGTTTCAGCTGGGGATATTGAACTAGAGGAAGAGGTGTGGACTTGGTGTGGATCGCTTTTCACAGTGTGTAAGGAAATTTGAGTCCGAGGCTCTCCTGCTGCAGACATCAGCGCTGTCATAGAACTTTCTTTCCTCTCAAGTGGTACGCCATGTTGCCAGCACACATTGAATGTTTTCACCTAAACCTACCTGAGCTGCAGATCTGGAGCAGAGCTGATTAGGACATTAGCAAGACGCTTCTGCTTTTTAGATGATTCTCTTTATGAGGTGTTGGAAGCCACTCCCTTTTCTGTCAGTAACTCCACCTCTCCTCACAGCGCTTTGCTCTCTGTCCTTTCACTGACACCAGCAAAAATATTATCTCAACCAGAGGAGGAAATTCTTTCTTAACTTGGATGATAAAGATATTCTTGAAATCTATGGTAATGACTTCCTGTGGAATGGGATCCAAACATAATTACTGTTGCTGTTGTAAATGTTTCCTGTTACTCTATTTTTGCTGCACCGTCCATAATTGAATTGTGTTTTGGATGGAGGAGGTTGTTGATAGCCTGTAGGGCAGTGATTTACCACAGGGCCACTGTGCACTCTCATCCCAAACAGCTTGTTTGTATTCTAAACACATTGCCTCGTGGAATATGTTTTTTTACTTCTTTTTTTTTTTTTGACTGGACTGGCCTCTGGGTTCGAAACGGTCTCATTGAATCAGCCTCCCCCCTGCATTTGAAAAGGAAGCTCATACCTGCTTCGGGTTGTGTGTCTTGTGATTTGGCGATCCGCTTCACAGTTTCTTTCCCCATTCAGTCCCAGTGTATTAGCTACACTGTGCATGTGTGAGGAGGCAAAGGGTGGAGGAATTGGGGTAGGAATGAAAGTAGGTCATTCGAGGTTTTGTTTAGTAGCCAGGCAAAACAGCAGGCTTACGCTTACCCCCCTGAATGGTGGAAGAGTCCTGCGTTTGACTGATGCAGTGTTGCAACTTTAAGCGTGCTTTTGCCCCAGATTTGTATGTGTTACCTCTGCCATGTTGGCTACCCAGCGTGAAGCCACATTACACTGGGTTTTGGTCTGTGGTGGCATAAACAAGAGCTTCTTTCTCACATTTTTTTTGTCTCACCAAACAGACCAGTTCTGGACAGAGTTCTGCGATGGTTCCCAGCTGTTTTAAGGATAATTTGTGCTAAAACTTAGGTCTCATTTTCATAGTTTTGGCAATCATTTCAGTTGGTTATGATTACATTGGACTTACCAAAGTAATTGTTAAGATTTGTTAACACAGCGACATCACTTACGCAGTCAAGAAATGAGCAGTTAGACAATTAAAGAGTAAAGAAACCAACAGTTAGCAGATTATCTAAACCCTTGTATTTATTGAGGCCAATTGAATCAGGAGAGACTTCCTTGAGAGTGAACCTTATTTATTGGACAAAAGGATGAGAAATGTAAATCATGACGTGATCATATTCTAAGGGGGTAGTGAAGCGCTGTGTGGTACAGGAAACCCCCCTCTCACGGAGTCTAGTCACTGGCAATGGTGGTAATGAGATGAGGAGAATGGTTGAAAAACCTGGATGTGATGAAGAGTGGATGAGTTCAACCTGGGCACTGGAAGTGATGAAACTTGAGGTTGAGGAGGGT